CCTGCATACAAAAAAGTTGCATGATAGATGACAAAAAGTAATTCCAGGCCTCTGTCTGACACCAAACAAGTCACATGAGATGTCTTCATTGCTATGGGTTAGTTATCCATTATTGCAGAGGAATTGTGTTCACTTCCATTCACACTCCTTGACTTGTTGGTTAAAACTGCAGTTCTGAACAAGAGCTAATTGAACTAACAGCCAGTATAGTATAGTGGTTAAAGTAACGAGGGTGGGGGGGAGAGACGAGAAGGAACACTCTTCTACAAAATGAAAACACAACCTGAACCTGCAATATGGAAAATATGACAAGCATATGATTATGAACAATACACAGAAAATAAACAATATAATTGTAGAAGTATCAAAAAGATGTTTAATACACATGACAGACTATGGATGGCCAGCCAAACTGCGATTTAAGTAGATCTTCACCGGACCATTTATGTGTATTCAATTTTAAAACAGCCACCAGTTCAAAACAAGGAGCCAAAAAGGTCTCTCATGCTTGCTGTGTGAGATGCAAAATAATATCAGCCATATAAATGCTCCCTGTGGTTGGAGGATGATGTAGGAGCATTTTGTTATACAACAGAATACCACAGAAAAACATCAGGCAAGTTAAGTAGAGATGCTTTCATTATAGGAAAGGCTTTCCATGCTGATTAAGTAATTTTTTTTGTATAGTTAACATATCTGAGAAACTGCTAAGGACGCAGGACTCATTGTCTTGGTTGATTCTGGTTGTGTTTTGGTTTTGGCTTTAGCTTAAGAAAGCTTTCCTTTCTGCCCAAATGTGACAAGTCCCCTCATTGGCCTCTGACCGTCACATTTAGATCAGCCGGTACCCACCTGGGATGTTGATCTAGCTGGCCAGCATTTCCCTCCTAATTCAGGCTCAGAGGAGGAATGTAAACAAGAACAGCCTGTATTTTTGGAATTTTCTTGGCAGCTTTTCAGGTCATTGAGCTCTTGTTTCCTCTAAGGTCATATCGCTTAACATCTTCTAGTTGAATAATTGCAGTCTCTGATGGTAAGAGTTTAAAGCTGGCGTAGTCTTAGTGGCAACAGAATAATATTTTATATGAGCACACATTTTGATACTTAGTAGGAGTCTTCATTGCCATTAGACAAGTCCAAGATTTCCTGCAGCATCAGCATACAGTCCAGTCGTAGCAGTGCTTGGCAGTGATGGCTGATTCATGTGTTACTTCTGCACTGTGGGGTTTGTATAATAAGATTATGTCTGGAGTTGTCACAGGCAGCACCTTGGCTTGGGTGATTCATCCAGCAGTCATAAATTTTCTCAAACAGATCTTATAGTTTGGACAGTCTGTTTCTGCTACCAAGAGAACATTTTAGGGCCAAACCCTCAGAGTCATTGATCCATAGACTGAATACAATCCAGGATATGATCATACAGGGTGTGCACAGATGTAGCATTAAAACAAGAATTGTAACAGATTTTTCTCCCACACACCATGCCCAACTTCTAACTGCAAGGACCTTGTGGGGCAGAAGATACCCCATACTCCCATTGGCCCCCATTTCCTTTGCTCTTTCTCCACACTCCTGCCCATATCTCCCCCACCACCTTTGCTCCCACTGCTGCTGTTTTCTTACTAATGCCTACTTTTCCACCTATGGCAATGTTTGCTGTTGTTGCTAGGCGATTCCAAAATGGCAACCACGATAGAATTGCTAGTTCTTGGTTGTTGTTTTTTCTGTAAGTTGCCATTTATGCATATGCATAGACATTGTTTCAGCTGTTTGAGTGAGTTCGATTCCCTTTCATCTTTTTTTCATTGATTTTTCCTCAAACCTGGAGGCTCCCTGAGATTTGTTTGAAAAATTTCCCCTCTTTTGGTGCCCCATGCAGATTTTTTTTGATCCATGTGGATTAAGCCATATTGTGAATTAGATATGCAGATGCCAACAGATCAAACATCAGTACAGATGTCAGTCTTGCCCATCTTCCTGTGTTTCAAGCAGGCTGCTTTTTTATTTAAAAAATATTAAGTAATATATTTGTGTGTGTTAACTGAAATGTTCTCTTGTCGTAAAGGCTCGTCATGAGTTGTAAAATGCTTCAAGGAATCTGCTGCAACAGAAATAATTTTCTCTTCAGCATAACTCTTAAGAGAAAATGGTTCCTTTCAGTGCTCAATTTCAGAACAGCCTATCACTAAAATAATGTCTTATTTCTTTTATCTATTTTTGTTTCTAGTCTGCCTTTGTCACCTGGACTCAAGGCAGGTTACAAGTATAATTGACTGAATAGTTCTAGCAATAAGCCAAATGCAAAATATGATAACATTTCGATGATAACAATATTTGAATCTAGATTCAGGTGGGTAGCTGTGTTGGTCTGAAGCAATAGAACAAAGTTTGAGTCCAGTGCACCTTTAAGACCAACAAAGTTTAAATCTGGGTATAAGCGTTCATGTGCATCTGATGAAGTGTGCATGCACATGAAAGCTTATACCCAGAATTAAACTTTGTTAGTCTTAAAGGTGCCACTGGTCTCAAACTTTGTGATATTTATATCTTAACAGTAAAGATTCCTGGTACAACAACATAATGCAGTGGGGCTAGGATTGAAGAACTGGGGGAGAATACACATTCTCCTTAATAGAGGTCAGCTTCTGAGCTGATCCATTACGTCACAGCTCTACAAGAATGCCCTCCTAAACAATTCTGTTTTGCTTTTTTGCAAAATGATGGTAGCGTGGAGTGTCTGGTTTTTATCCATCTGTTTTGTCTGTGGGTCTGTTCACATGTTAGGGGATTGGTGTAATTGCTGTTCTTCTGTGGCTGCAACTCATAGTCATCTAGTAATGTTAGAATGGCAGTGCTGGGGTGAGGCTAAGGCTCAATGGAAGAATACCTGCCCTGTGTGCAGAAAGTCCCAGGTTCAATCCCTGATGTCTCCGGTTCCAGGCATCTCAGGTAGCAAGTGATGGGAAAGATCATTCTCCTGGAGATCCTGGAGTGAAACTGGTGATCAGATTAGAACATTTTGAGCTCAACGATACGATGTTTGGCAGCTTCATATTTACAAGGGAGTTCTTCAGACAAGATGCCAGGGAAGCCTCAGGAAATCAAAATGGCTTATTTGCATCAATGCTTTAAAAAAAACTCCCACATGGTTGCCTCCCACAGCCACTGGAAGATTTCTAGCTAGCATAATAATAGAGTGGGAGGAGCTCCTCCCAACTGGAAACGCGGGAGCCGTTTCTTGCCTAATGATCATGCACTCCTGGGAGGGGATCCACACACTCCCTCAGTTCTTAGTTCGCCACTGCTGAAGAACACCTTGTAGTTAGCTCGTGAATTTTTACCTCATCCATGATCTTGACAAAAGATATTGTTGTTCAAAACATGCCCAAAGTGCTCGACCAAAATGACAAAGACCAATGAGCACAAGGTATTCTTCATTTGCTTGGGCAAGGATCATAATGTTGCAGCATTTTCCATCTGCTAGTGTTTCACCCCCCAAGGCAAGAGTCAACAGAGCACTCCTGTTAAAAACTGCACTATGGGGAAAGTTCTTTCTGCTCACTTACCTGCCCAGGTGAAGCAGACAATAGATCCAGCACCACAACCTCGTTCTGTCCATGTGTCTTGTGTGCCACCTGTGATTTCTGTGCACTCAGTTCAGAGATCAGATGCCGCTAGAAAGTGTTCCAAGCAGTCTGAAACCAGGCTGAACTGTTTGGCATTGGAACCGCCACCTAAAAACAAAGTGAAATCTGAACACAGATTGCATAGATCCGAGTCCACGACTGTGGCAAAGGGATCAGAACCGACACCTTTGGCTTCTAAGCCTACAACAACAGATTCCATTTATTGAAGCTATTTTGGATCCAGATTATTCCCCAACCATAGATTCCATTTATTGGAACTATTTTGGATTCTCAGGCTGCTAAAATGCTAAAATCAGACAGAGTGGTACTCATAAAAAGCATGGTTGCCCATTTTAAAAATAATTGCTTCCAAAAGGTGGTTAACATTCAGAAACGATTCGAATTAATGGCTTCGGCAGTTTTTGTGGTTCCATTCACTAGATTGAAAATGAGAACGTTATATAATTGGTTTCTATGAGTGTTCAGTCCTGCATGACATTCCCAGGGAAACTATTTTTTGATCCCCAGATGGATTCTTAGGGATTTAGACTGGTGGATGCTGGACACCAACTTGATGTTGGATATGCCTTTTGGGATGTGCGCTTTGCAAATCACAGTTACCACTGATGCTTCCCTTTGTGGTTGAGGGGCACAGTGTGGGAATAGAAGTATCCATAGCACTTGGTCTGACACAGAAATGGGGTTACACATCAAATTTTTAGAGATGACAGTTATTCATAATGCCCTTAACTACTTTTCAGATTTACTACACAGGAAGAAGGTCCTCATCCAAACCAACAATACAACTGTGATGTATTACATCAACTAACAAGGGGGTACCTCTTCCCTTTCTCTGTGTCGGACAGCCATGGCAATATGGGAATGGGCCATGGCAAACCACATTTGTCTCCACACCATACATATTGCAGGTGTAGAGAACATTAAAGCAGACAGACTCGGGGAGTACAGTCACAAATGGTCCATTCCCCACTGACATACCCCATCTTTGCAAGATGGGGGTTCCGTTCAGTCATCCTGTTTGCTACACGTCACAGTGCAAAAACGCCTTGGTTCTGCACCAGGGCAGGAGCAGACCCCTGTTCCCTAGGGGATACTTTCCAGTTACAGTGGAACCAAGGGCTCCTGTACACATTTCCTCCCCTACCTTTGATCGGCAAAGTGTCCTCCTTTCGAGCCTTTAGCCACTTGTTTCATGGAGTATCTCACATTAAAAATAGCCTTCCTAGTAGCTATCACTTCAACAAGGAGGGTAAGGTGAGATCACAGCTTTTATGACTGACTTGTCCATTCATCAAATTCCATGACCAGAGAGTGGTGCTAAGACCTAGTTTGAAATTCTTGCCCAAGATAGTGTCCAAATTCCATCTAAACCAAGATATTTCACTTCTCATGTTCTTTTCACACCCTTCATCTGAAGCAGAAAAGAGACTACACACCTAGAATGTCAAACGTGCATTATTTCATTTGAAAAGAACAGGTGACATTAGAAGAACCCCATAACTGTTTCTTTGCTTTGCTGGCCACTGTATAGGGAAGGCAGCACCCGCACAGACCATTTCAAGATAGATAGTTTCAACAATAAAAAAAGTATGCATTGGCATCTGTAAACTGTTCCTTAGCAGATACAGCACACTTCACAAGGGCACAAGCAGGGTCCGCTGCATTTCATCGAGGCATCCCATCACTGGAAGTCTGAAAAGCTGCCACGTGGGCTTCTTTTAACACTTACAACGAAATTAAGGTGCAATCATTCGGTGATCTACAAGCATACTCATATACACTCACACAACCATACTCATATACACTCACACAATCATTAGGGTTCACATTGCAACTTAACCACCAATGTCAACAAAACCACCAAATTCCAATTCATACAGCATTTAAAGCAATAATAGCTCTCGAATAAAAACTGTTTTTTAATCTGTTTGTCCTTGTCCTTGTACTACAGTCGATTTTACAGTAAAATGGCTCACCCCCACCACCTGGTAAATTAGCTTGGCAGTCTCCCATGTGGGACTGCAGAAGACAACGGTGATAAAAACAGTGTTGCACTTACCTGTAACTGTTAGTCATCAAGTTGTTGCTATGCAGGCACACATCCTTCCCTCCTACCCCGCTGTGAGCACACACGAAAAATTAAATTAAAATTATAAATGCCCATGATAGAAGTCTGCTGAATAACATCTGCGCTCGGTGAGACCTGGTGCAGTTCCGCAGGGCTTGCAAGGCAGAGATGTCCCATCAGGCTTTTGGTTGAGGACATCAACCGGCACCATCTCATCTAGCACTCCCTCCCCCTCCCCCTCCCCCATCCTGCTTCCTTTTCCGTCTGTTTGTGAGACAGTAATGCAATGTATAGATTTATTTAGCGCCATTTGAAAATGTTTTTAGCTATTTCAAACTTTTTTTATTTTAAATTGTATGGATTTCCTGTTGCTAACTGCCCTGAGCGCTCTGAACTCAGAGAAGTGTGGCTCATAAATCAAAATTATAAAAACAGTATATATATATATATATAATTTATTTAAATATTTAAGATCATAGTGGCGGTTCAGGAGCACTGAGAAAGTGTGTGGCACCCCTCCCTGGATCACATGGCCATTAGGTGGGAAACGGCTTACATGTTTCCAGTTGGGAGGGGCTCCTCCCACTCTGTTACTATGCTAGCTAGAAATCCTCTGGCGGCTGGCCTGCACAGTACCCATGTGCGCCTGCACAGTGGCAACTCGATGAACAACAGTTACAGGTAAGCACAACACTGTTTTCTGTTTCTCAAGGTATTAGAAGGAGCTCCGTATAATCTGAGGTATTCTACCTTCTTGGATAATCCAAGCCCTGTGATTTGTCATGTCCCAAACCATCTTGTACTCCATCCATTTTTCATTTGATATTTTATCTGAATTAAATTCTTGTGCACTTGGTCTTCTTTGTTGAGTTGGCTATATTGCTTGCACTAAAGGAGGAAGAAACTGCCAACACTAGAAAATATGTTTCATAACTGTGTGGGGGATGATAGGTTAGGCTAGCATCCCCACCTTTTGTGTAATTGAAATACTAAAGAATTCTACCTATGAATACCCTCAGAAAATATCTGTCTAGTCATTGTGATGTCTCTCTTTCTTTCCTTAACAGCTTCAGGCCCTTCTTCAAATATGGGCCAAACTGCCTCCCAGAGAAGCATTAGAATTATTGGATTTCAATTATCCAGATCAATATGTGCGAGAATATGCAGTAGGCTGTTTAAGGCATATGAGGTGAGTCTGGTGGTAATCTTATTTCAGTAGTTGATCCAAAATTTTAAAAAATGTCACTGTGACTTTTACCGCACAAATAAAATAATCCTCAAATCATTATGTAGGCTGCTGTTTAAACATCCCAGCTGTGGACTGGGCTGGGATCACAGTACGTAACAGTATCTGTCAACCCAGAGTGGGTGGTCTTCCTTTGGGAATTGTTTCTAGCCCAGACAATACGAGTCTTTCTTTGGTTATTTGGGAGACATGCAAAGATGTGGGGAGTGTAAGGAGATGCACAGCAGAGGGGAAATGAAAAATTTGGGGGCTGTACCTTAAATGTAATGCATGTCATTCATATCCTGTGTGTCAAAGGGGAGACTGGCCATTGAACTTGGTGTGGGGGGGGAAGCATTCAGGGGGGCCCATTCTCTTGCTCTTTAATTCTCTCATTAGAGCATACGTTTCTAATTTAATACTATTTTTGCTCCAAGAAAATGTTGGCCATTATCAAGTGCAGGTCTGCTGTGCTTCAGAGTCCTTGACTTCTCAAGAGCATTGCAAGCAATTAGTAACATTTTAAATTTCAAGGCTAGTTTATTGACAGAATATTTTGACTTTCATAAAATGTAAACAAGGTAGCTGTTCCGTTAGGCCTGGCTGGCCTTATGATACTGAATTGGTTGGGTTGTCATTTTAAGTTTTTTGTGAATTTAATCTAAGTATGTAGAGTCACCCTGACCTGGATAGTCCAGACTAGCCTGATCTTGTCAGATCTCAGAAGCTAAGCAGGGTCGGCCCTGGTTAGTATTTGGATGGGAGATCCCCAAGGAATACTAGGATCACTATGCAGAGGCAGGCAATGGCAAACCACCTCTTAATGCCTCTTGCCTTGAAAACCCTAGCGGGTTGCCGTAAGTCAGCTTTCCACCACCACCATGTAGAGTCAGTGGGTTGCAGTTGTTACCAGAAATGCTTGGAGTACATGTGAAAACTATTCATATATGCATTCATAAGAATACTTCCAGTTGTCCATGTCAAATGATCTTTTGTCTGTGCTTGAAGAGAGCCCAATCATGGGCTATACTTTGGGAAAGGACTTAACAATGAGGAAGGCTATACTTAAGTTTTGACTTTCATTGAACACACAAGCAAAGGCTGGAAAATGCAGGTGGTTTGAAAGAGCAATATTAAATCCGAAATTAGAGGAATTACTGTGTTTTGAGTATAACTAGATGGCCTATAGAATCACACAAGCACTTGGGGAATAAGCAGCAGCAGGCAAATCAGATGATTCCTAGTGGAAACCATCCCAGTTATGCTAGAAGTTCCTCCCACAGGCTAATCCAGAATCAGCACCCACCTTCAGTTTTGTTACGAGCATACAGCATCTCTGGAGTGTGTGGGGGGTAGTAAGTTGAAGGGTGAGGCTTTTCTTTCTCTGAGCAGCCCACAGAATGGTAGAGAAGAAGGAAGGAATATATTTGGGGAATAAGGAGGCTAGGATCAGCAGGGGAGGCAGATTATAGAAGCAGAACCGAAAGATTCATGTGTTGCCTGATCCTTCTGTCCAGCATAGTTGGAGAAGTGCTCATGCCAGGATGGTGCTTCTATTTTTTTCTGGGCATTTACTACTGTGGCCGTATTCTATTTGTGGTATTTTGGGGTCCTTTGTAAAGGTAAAATGGAGTGGGGCATAGGATATTCAAATCTGGTCATAATGAAGAGGACAGCATGTACCAGGAGAAGAAGGAAATGACTAGAAATTATAATAGTTATGAATTATGAGTAGTAAGTGGGGCAGTTGGGAAGATGGAATGATTGAATCTCCTGGGAATTGTGGTTGAGTTACCTAAGTGGCAAACTGAGTGGCCAAGAGGTAGCTGATGGCCCTGTCTCTAGTAGTGACCTGAGGTCTGTTATTGTAAGCCAGATTCCTGGATGGTGCTGGAGGGTTAATTATTATTCTGCAAACCTCAGTCCTTAATCCTCAGGGAGCCAAAGAATAGAGCCATTGTCAAGGGAGTGTCCAGGCCCTCAGGGGAGCCTGGCTATTTCTGCATCAGCCTTCCAGTTGCTGTATCTTCATTTCTCTGCTTTAATATCAAATATCTTCCCCAATCTTAGACAGTGTAGGGACTGAGAAGTCATAGAGGTGACTCAGAAACATGGTTCTGGATCCAGGGAACTTTTGGGCTTACTTTTGGGATTATTTTAGAGAAGAATGGTTTTTAAAGAATGTTTTAACTTGTAATTTGCATTTGACTCTAAACTTTTAATGCTTTTAAAAATAGATGTAATAAGCATAGAGTATACAAAAGATACAGTTGTTGGCCAAAGCTGGTGATCATTAAGATAAATGCATATAGCTAATTTTTAATATTTTCTGAACCAGTGAAACCTACTTGAGTGGCCATGTGTATTACATCTGAAAGCCTTTCAGTATCTGCTGAGGAGTTCTCTTTCTGTCTGTATATGTGGTAGTTAATACCATTTTACTATTTGATTTAGTTTTTCCTTCCTTTCACTTTAATTCATCTTCCCACAATGAAGCTAGTTACCCAGGTTTTCTTTATCTTCTTCCAGTGATGAAGAACTTGCTCAGTATCTTCTGCAGCTTGTACAAGTACTGAAATATGAACCTTTTCTCGACTGTGCCCTCTCCAGGTTCCTGCTAGAGAAAGCACTGGCAAACAGGAGAATAGGACAGATGCTGTTTTGGCATCTGAGGTAAGAGCCTCTTGTATAGTCTGCCACCTCCTCCTTCTCCTGCCCCCAAACTGTTCAAGAGCAAAAATTTCTAATTCTAATGAAAGAAAAGCCAACGTGGCTGAACCAATATGTCAGAGATTAAAAGGGAATCAGAGTAAGGGAATTTTCCATCTGTTTACTGCCCTGTGCCATTTAGTCAATTCTAGCCAATTGTTTTTCCTAAATAAGTACCAGTCACCAATGCTCCCTCTAAGCTGCGGAGTCTTGTGAGCAAACATTCTACTTTATGAGCTACTGGCATTAAAGTTGTGAGCAAGCGATTTAGCTACTGCATAAATTAATTTGCTCTGTAGCCATCCTTCCTGAGCTAAGACAAAAAATGGGTGAGCTGGAAGCTAAGAAACAGTGAGCTAGTTCACACTAACTCAGCTTAGAGGGAACATTGCCAGTCACCCGTGTCCATTCCTGCATTATTCCCAGTTTTTTAACAGGTTATTTTTTCTTAAGGTCCTGTAATCACTGTAAAACATACAAGTGAAATTCTGTTGATTTATTTAATTTGTATGAATTAATCACTTTTCAACTCAGACACTTCTGTACATTGACTTTAAACCCAATATGTATACAAAAAGCATCTGCCTGTATGCTAGGACAACAATGTGGTTTGCTTTTAAATGCATAAATTACATTGATGTCCCCCACCCCTTGGCTTACTTTCATGAGCAGACAGACTGAAAGTGGGTTGTCCTGTTTGTTGCAAAGCCTGACTGAGCCATTTGGAACTGCTGCTAAGAAAGGAAATATATAGAAAATCCAAGTGTATCTGCAGAAATGGATCCTCGGTAGTTTCTGTATTCTCATGTGTTTAATTTTGCTGAGTTTGTACCTCGTTAGACTGAATCGCTCTGTTTTGTACTCAGAGGCAGCAAAACAGCTTAAGGTAAACTCCACCTACATCTCAGTTTTAGCTCCATTTGCCATCTTTCAATTGCTTCTTTCATTTAAGGGAAAGCCCAGCCTACTCAAAGAAAAAGAGAGACATGACAAAATGGCTGAAGCTGCTTTGAGCTCACCATATGAATCTTTAAATGAGGTCACCTTCCTCCTAGCTGTTGCAGATTTCACCCTTCTCATTAACTTCACTCCCACTGTGTCCTACAGCAAGGAAGGAACTGAAAAAAGGTGTTCAGGTAGGAGAGCTCCAAAGAGAAGCAATTTGTAGTATAACCCATTCATGAAGCCGCTAGTTGCCTAGCAAACCATTGTGGTTTAGCACTGGATTATGCCTATGACTCACAATAGAATTACTTGGGGACAAAGAAAGTGATAGTTGCCCCCAAGAAGGCACAGATCAAACATAAAGCTGCTAAGGACTGGAGTACTTCCTGCAGTTTACGTGCAGATACACACATACAATTTGTGCTATTTGGCTTTGGGTCCTGCTCCTGGAATAGCCAGTGGCTTCAGCAATGATCCCACATCTGTGATAGATGCTTTTCATGTTCCAGATTGGCTCAAGATGCTGCAACAAATGGGCCATTATGTCAGATCAGCCTCATGGCCACATCCTGCAAGTGGTAGGGCAATGTCCTCTGGTCTCCTGTTTCCCCCATATGGATTCTCACAGGCATACCAGGAGGACTCCTAGTCTTCCTTTCTTCTTTTCTCTAGCACAAGCTATGCCCTGTTTCTTAGGAAGAAAAGAATACGGAAGAGGGATGTGAGAATCATAATTGTCATACACTTTCCACTATTTTTTCCCCTTTAAGTTCATGGTTAAACAGTGGAGACCAGCTATCTAGGTTGCAATATATTTATTAGAACCTTCATGCTCTGCAGGGATCCTACCAGCATCTCCTTCACCTTCTGGGTTTCCTAGTCGCCATTCCAGTGGTTTCCAGGGTCTTTGGATTAATCTGGACAAGACTGGTGATCCTCTGTCTCCTGTTCATGTTGCTCATTGTGGAATTGACTGTTTGAGGGAGGGTGACTACTTTTGAAGAATGACTCCTAGATTTGGAAAGAAAGATCTCCCCAAGGTTTCTTTTTCTACCAGGCCTGTCGCCAGGATTTTTTTTGGCAGGAGGGACTAGAGGGGGCATGGCATCACTTCTGATATCACAAAAATAAAATAAAACAAACTTGTGCACTGGCTGGCCCTTTCCCCGGCATTCCAGGCACTCTGAAGGCCCATTAAAGAAGCTTCTTGGAGGCTTTGCCCGGTGCTTCAGAAGAGCCCCGTCTCTCGCAGGCACAAGCGAAGCCGCCAGCTAGGCAACCCCTCTGCCTCTGAAAAGGACTGATAAGCCGAGCCTGGTTCTTGCCCGGTGGCAGTGCAGTCACAAAAGTGGCAGCTTAACCGGCTGCCCAACCCGGTGTGGCTCCTGCAGGCAGCTTCGCCTCTCCCCCCATTACTGAGCCGGCTCTGCTGGTGCGGGCAGGGCAGAATGCCTGTTGTGGCCTCGGTGATTGATGAAATGTCCAAGTTGCCTGTTTTCCTCAGGGCCTTTGTATCACCCATGGCACCCATTCCATCCCCACCCCCGCCCTGCCTTGTCTGACTGGCAGCGAGCCATTGGAAGGCCCTCAGGGGCAATCAGGCTGAGCCCCAGGACAGAAAAGCAGAGCCACATGACTGCTCTGGCATGACCAACCTTCCTGGGCCCTTAGACCCGATCTTCTCCCCTGCCTGTCGAGCTGCTCAGAACGAGGCAGACAGAAGGACACCACATAGCAGGGAGCCGCTTCTAGGGTGGGGGTGGGGGCGCAGGGCAGCTCTCCGGACCTGCAGAGAGGGCAGCCTGATACTCACCTGCCTGCTCAGCTCACTCACTGCCCTGCTGGCACTCCTGATGGAGCTTCCTGGTCTCTTCCTGGCCTTTTGGGTGGGGGTGGAGATGTGTGGGGCAGTGGAGAGCGAGGAAGGTTGGAAAGAGAGGTGATCAAGTGCAGCCAGCCACCGGCGCTCCCAGATGAGCTGTGGTGGAGACCGGTGAAGGTTGGAGAGCAAGGTAAACAAGCGCGCGGCTGACTGCCGGCACTCCCAGACAAGCTGGCCTTTTGGGTGATGGGCATGGCTCAAAATTAATGGGGTGTGACCCCGAAATGCCCCACTGTAGCTAAGGGGCTCTTTTCAAGAACAGCAAACAGAACGGTATTCTATTTTTTCTTATTGCTGCCTATCTTTTGGGATAAAGAGATAGCGAGACTCATGTCTATACGTTCTGCATTCTTTGAGAGGCAGGGTGCTTAACTTTGAGGTGAGGATCAACAGTTTTGCAAAAAAAAACCAACCACAATTATATCATGCTATCTTACATGAAAAGAGTGCACATACACTTGGACTGGCATTTGTTTATCCTTTTAAAAAGAATGAAAAAGACTGCTCCTTCTTAAACACAGTTTAAATGTAACTCTCAAGTCACATCTGTCATAAAATTCCTTAAATAGAGAACGGTTCTGCAGATATTCGTATACAGAGGGATTTTTCTTTTCTTTTCTTTTAGATCAGAAGTACATATACCTGCATTTTCAGTACAGTTTGGCGTGATTCTTGAAGCTTACTGCCGTGGAAGTGTTGCTCATATGAAAGTTCTCTCTAAACAGGTATTTCTCATTTTAGATCCTTGTCCGTGGGGCAGTTTATACCTGTCGTTAGCTGTTGATCGTGCCATTTCATTCATGTGATTGCCTGCATGGAAAACTCTTCACTTTCAGCAGTGTGGGAACTACTTCCACGTAATGCACTTTCACACTGCTCTGAAGTCTTTGTGTAAATAACATGACAGGATTGTGGGCTGAAATACATAGTTGCCAATTCCATGCATCAGCCCAACCCATGCCTTCTACCAGAGAAAAGCAGTTCTCAAGCTATAGGAGCATAAGAAGAGTCCTGCTGGATCAGACCGGTGGTCCATCTAGTCCAGCATCCTGTCTCACACAGTGGCCAACCAGTTCCTCTGGACAGCCAACAACAGGGCATAGAGGTCAAGGCCTTCCCCTGATGTTGTGTCCAGGCTCTGGGATTCAGAGGCTTAGTACCAGTGAATGTGGAGGTTCTCCTCAGTCACCATGGCTAGTAACCATTGATAGACTTATCCTCCATGAATCTGTCTTTTAAAGCTGTTTATTCCTCTGGCCATCACTATGTCCTATTGCAGCAAATTAATCACTCTCTGTGTAAAGCAGTATTTCCTTTTGTCTGCCCTAAAACTACTGCCCATCACTTTCATTGAATGCACCCAAATTCTAGTATTTTGGGCCAGGGAGAGAAATTTCTCTTTGTCAACTGCCTCTACGCCATGCATAATTTTATGAACATCTATCATGTCACCCCTTAGTCATCTCTTTTCTAAACTGAAAAGTCCCAGACTCTTCAACCTTTTCTCATAGAGAAGGTACTCCAATTCCCTAATCTTCATTGTACGTTTTCCAGCTCTGCAATGTCTTTTTTGAGATATGGTGACCAGAACTGTACACAGTATTCCAAATGAGGTCACACCGTAGATCTGTACAGAGACATTTTTCTCAGTCCCTTTCCTAATAATCCCTAACATAGAGTTTGCCTTCTTCACTGCTGCAGCACACTGGGCTGACACTTTCATTGAGCTCTCCATTACAACCCCAAGATATTTTCCCCTCTCAGTCTCAGGAAATTCAGACTCAGCTTATACTTGAAGTTGGGATTTTTTGTCTTAATGTACATCACCTTACACTTACCAACACTGGACTTCATTTGCTACATTGTCGCCCACTCACTCAGTTTGTGGAGGTCCTCTTGGAGCTCTTCACAGTCAGTCTTGGTTTTCACCATCCTGAATAATTTTGTGTCATCTGCAAACTTGACCATTACACTACTCACCCCTAGTTCCAAATCATTGATGAATAAATTAAATAGTATGCTCCCTCTAAGCTGTGGGGTCTTGTGAGCAAAAATTCTACGTTGTGAGCTACTGGTGTTAAAGTTGTGAGCGAGCTATTTGACTGCTGCATAAATTAGTTTGCTCTGGAGCCATCCTTCCTGAGCTAAGACAAGAATGTGTGAGCCGGAGGCTAAAAAACTGTGAGCTAGCTCACACTAACTCAGCTTAGAGGGAACATAGGTACCGGCCCCAATACCGACCCTTGTGGGACCCCGCTACTTACTTCCCTCTATTGTGAAAGCTGTCCATTGATTCCTACTCTTTGCTTCCTGTCATTTAGTCAGTTTTTAGTCCATAAAAGAACCTGTCCTCTTATCCCATGGCTGCTAAGTTTACTCAGGAGTCTTTGGTGAGGTAGCTTGTCAAAAGCCTTTTGAAAGTCCAGGTATATAATGTCTACCGGGTCGCCATTGTCTACATATGAAGGAGGCTAGATGTAGTCTGCATGCATGATGTTTGAAGTTTGATGTATCCACACAATGTGTGCAGTTGCCCTAAGCGTGTAATGAGTTGGCAGTTCCCAGGTGGCAACATCTATTCTTAACTATTTTCATCCAAATGTTTACTTTGTAAGGGCTGAGATTTTGATTAGAGAAAGTTCAAAGTCTTTTATTAAACTGCTGAAGTGACAATTTAGCACTGTCACTATTATTTGACTTTCAAGTTTGGGCTTAATACAGCTGGAAGAAGCAACCTGGTTACACAAAGTAATTTTCCCTCTCTTCATCTTGGCAATTCATTAAGGTCAGGAGTGGTCTACACCCATTCTTACAGAATTGTTTACTCTTTTGATGGGAGTTTTTTTAAAGATACCATTTCAAATCTGAAATAATAGTAATATATCTGAAAAATTGAATAGCTTTTCCTTAAACCAAAGGAAAACCAAAGGAAAAATATTCAGCATTTTAAGATGGCATAATTCTTCAGCTGTTAACTGTTGCAAATAAAATTATAAGACTGAATGTAGAATTGTTATGAATGCAGTACGGAAAATACAACCTAGCACTTGCAGCCTGTAATGGCAGAGTCTGTTCTGCCTCCTTATTTAGCTATGTGTGAAGGCCGGACCATAAAATTAGGGTAAAACACTTTTGAGAAAGCTTCATTTTCTATAATACCCGGTCAACTTTATTTTCAGCCTGAGTACTTAGAATAGGACTGATATCTAGATGGCATGTAGAGGATTTGGGGGGGGGGGTGTCAGTTCTAGCTCCATACTACTTTGATTTATCTCCTGATTTCTGTGTGCATTTTTGTGCCTTTAGTTTTCACTTCATTTTTTTTTCTCCTGGGTTTTGTCTGGTTCTTTTGAAACAACTTCTACCCCAGTCTTTTTCTGGAAGCTGATTTTGAGTTGCCTTTTTCCTTGTGCATAATGTTTTTGTCAGTATTTGTCCCGCTGACCCACACACACCTCCAAGCCCACTTTCTGATGATTGGACTGTCATCATCGACAAATCACTCTTCTCCCTGCCCCCCCAAGACAAGTGGTTTCATTTTTTTAAGTGACACTAAAATATCAATATATTGATACAAGGAAAAAGGCTCGTTGTGGAAATAAATACAACGAGATCTAGAAAGAAGCTCTGGGCGGGTGCCCTGGCCTTGGACACTCAGTGTTAATTTGCTGTGGCGACCTCAGTAGGGTATAATGACACTGAGTCCACCATTTTCTCCAGAGGAACTGATCTCTGCTACCTAAAAAACAGTTGTAATTTTGAGTGATCTCCAGCCCTCACCTGGAGATTAGCAACGATGGTTCCCCAGAAGGGAATGGTTGGTTTGGAGGGTGGAGTCTATGGCTTTGTACCTGTCCGAGGTCCCACGTCTCCTGAAACCTCACCCTCTCCAGGCTCCATCCCTCACATCTCCAGGAATTTCCCACCTGGAGTTAGCAACCCTATCTCCTTCCCAGCCAATCATCAACCTACCTTTATTTCCCCCTCACTCTTCAGCTTTCCACCCCACACACATCTGCAGCCTCTCCCGTGCTCTGAAGCCCTGACTGCCACGTCACATTGGCTGTCATACGGGGGCCACCTCAGCAGCATATAAGGATACAGAGCCCACCATTTTCTCCAGGGGAACTGATCTCTGCCATCTGGAAAGCAGTTGTAATTCTGAGGGATCTCCAGCCCTCACCCGGAGATTGGACACATTTTACCTCAGAACAGCAAACTGTTTAGAATGTTAGAGGCAAAAGCCACTCAAGTCGCATATGCAAATGACCTCTGTGTTCCGAGGCAAAGTCCAATGAGGCTGAATATGCAAATAACCTCTGTGTTCTGACTGGTTATGGTGGTGGTGGGGAGAAGAACAGCAAACTGTTTAGAATGTTGGAGGTGAGACTCAAGCAATGCAGCCAGTGGATAGGGTCAGATTCTGAGTGACACACCAGGGCGCCAACCAATTCTGGAGCATGTGGAATGTTCTAGAGAAGTGCCACCACCATTTGGCTTTTATATATAAGGGAGATAATGCTGTAATGACATGTCAGGCAGGTTCTCTGAATCCCCTGCTTCCATTTTCTTAAAATGTAATGCTATAGCTCCTTCCCTCATGGAGATAGCTGGAAATTCGGTGAATTGATATTTTAGTGCCATTTTAAAAAATGCAGCCAAGATCTGTATAAGCATGCACAAAAAATAAGAGGGAGGGTACTGTGATGCCACTGATGATGCCACCACTCCTTTGAGTGGTAACAGCACACTCCCTTGAAAATCCTGTTTATATAAGGCACTTGCTAGGGAAGAAAATAAACTGACTCCACATCTGTGAAAATGCAAAGGGAGGGCAGATATGCAGAAAACCTCTGGTCAAACCAATTCCAATGGATAAACTGCTAAGAAAACCAGGAAGAAAAAAGTGTGTAGAAAAGCCCCCTGCTTATTGCATGGTCAAAATACAACATTATGATCAAATAGGGAGTACTTCAGCATATCCTTTAATGTGTCTTGGTGATTGTGCATATTTTTTTTTAAAAAAATAATTTTTATTAAGTTTTAAGGATACATGGGGATGTACAAATGCAGTTGAGATAGGAACGTTCCCCAAGACACTGTGTACAGTTCCCTCTATATGGACTGTTAAAGACTACACTCTCTGTGAATCATGGTCAATGTGCACAATGGCCAGTTGTCATATAGGTTAACCTTTCAACTCGTGTTAACCCTTAATATTTATTATACCTTTTAAAAAGCCACTGTCAATTGAGGATACCTCTTTGTGTATCTGACAAAAGTGGTCCCTGGCTCACAGTAGTTTGTTACAATAAATCTGTTAGTCTTTAAGGTGCTTCTTTGGTGAGGGGGAGTTGCTGCAACAGTTTAACATGGCTACCCTCTGGAACTGGTGGCCAATTGTATGCTTAATAACCATCAGAGGGAATGAGCATTCATTGTTATCTAAGCTGGATGTTCTGATCCCATCCCTTTGTGTGCTGCTGATAAAGCATAGCAGTGATAGTATTTGCTTCTGCTGTACAAGTGTGCAGCAATAATTTAGTAAACCAAGTGTAAAATTCTATTTGTGATTGATCTGAGAGCTGGCAAAAGTAGCATACTTTAAAAAAAAACTTTATACTATAACTCGAATGAAATCTGCATTTATACTTAAGTTTCCATGAAGAAGAAAAAATTCTTTAGCTTTTGTATATTGATATGACAATCTTTTTTTTTTTTAACAAATGTGATTTTTAGCACTTGATAAATAGGAATACTCTGGTAAATGTAGTTCAGCAATAAGCTTCAAGATCTGCAGGATTTTCTGTGCCCTTTAGAGGAAGTTCATGTCAGTGCAATCAAAGAAGTGGCAAAAAATTCCCAACTGTGCAAACACGGAAGAAATTCAAAGTAGAAATACTTCACAAAGTTCCTGTTTGTATAGCACAGGTTCCATTTTGCTCCCTTGTCACTGATGTTTGCACAGCTCCTGGAATTGTGGAAATGCAGGGAGATTTTGGTTTTGACAGATGGCTGACCTGGTAGGTCTCTACCTCCTCTATTCCATAATCAGAGTACATACACAGCATCCTGCCTGGCATGGATGAGCTAATTTTTAAGATTAAGAAGCTTGTGCTTTAAAACCATATATTAAGGTACATTTTCCTTACACAGAAACAACTGTAAATAAGTAAGTGGATACTCCTTAGTGAACTCTAGATAGTCTGTGAGCTTATTGGTGCAATTGACTAAGAACTTTATATTTCATATTCCTCATGGAATCTGCCTTTACACTTAAGGGAACCTGTTATTAAACATGTAATCAGCATATAGCACAGCTGAAGAGAGGTGTTTGAGAGTGTTGTAATATTAATAGTTTTAAGAGCATCCCAGCTGGTTCAGCATCCTTTGTAGGAATCCAACAGCATGAAACCGATGTAACTTAATGCAGTTGCTGTTCACTTACTATCTTGTGCTAGCCACTGGGAATTGTATTGCACCAATTGCAATCCAATTTCATTGGCTACCAATTCAGTAACTGAGCCCAGTTCAAAGACCTGTTTTTGGTCTTTTAAAGCCTTAAATGGTAGGTGACCAGGGTACCACAAAGAACACCTTTTTCAGTATGGACTTGGTTGGACACTGAGATTATTTAGTGCAATCCTGCTTTGTGTGCCATTGCCATTCGAGGTTCAAAATAGGAATGGGCATGAACTAGAAAACTGTGGTTTGTGGCTAAACCACGAACCAAACTGGGAGGTTCATTCACAAACCGAACTGGTTTGTGGTTCGCGGCCCTGTAAACCCCATATAAATGGACTGCTGTCCCTTTATACGGGGTTTGCAGAAAGTCCGAAAAACAGCTGAACAGCGAGGAGCAGTCTGCTTTTCACTGCTCAGCTGTTTCAGGCTGTCTTGTGCAGTCCCTTCAACCTTTAAAGAGAGTGCACAAAAAAGCCCACCTGTTCTTGTGGCTTTCCTGGGGAACCGAAAGCAGGGGGGTTTAAAGGGACTTTAAACCCCTGCTTTATGCTCTGGCCACAAACCACCATGAACTGCTTCAAAAGTTCATGGAAGTTTGTAATGGTAGACCCTTCACAAACTTCTGTTTGTGAACCCGGAATAGGGCAAAATTCATGATGGATCTTGCTTTGTGGTTCGGTTCGTGCCCATCCCTGGTTCCGAGAGTGGCAATGAACAATGGTTTCTTTTGGGGGGAAGTACCAAGATTGTGGAGTTTTGAAAGACATCACTGCCATCTTCTTCTCTTGTTGTTTTTAGCAAGTTGTTGGAATCCTTTCTGTTTAGGCTGACTTTTAGGTTAGTTTAGGCTAGCCTGATTACAGGGGCAGTTTGGGGGATGTGAGGCTAGCTATCCTTTTGATGTTGTTGTTGCACAGCTGGTTTCTGTTGTTCATGTGGTTGTATTTCATCATCCCAGACCACTGCTTTACATTTTAAGGGTCTGGCAGCAACTTGGGTGGAGCTAATATTGCCAGTCCTTATTGTGCAATCATCCTCCAGTAGGAATCAGAATTGTGATTGGACAGTATGGAGCTTTGTGACTGGTTCCTTGCAATTCCCGTGTGGTACTGGGCCTTTAAATGGTACAGTATCCCAGTGTGGGTGATATGAACAAAAACACCTTCCGTGCTGTATATTCATTCAGTTTGGAGTCAGTGTGGTGTAGTGGGATAGCTGGTGTGACAAATTAGGAATGCCAGCCTCCAGGTGGAACCTGGGGAACCCCCGGAATTACAGCTTATCTCCAGACAACAAAGGTCAGTTCCTCTCAATAAAATGGATGCCTTGGTGGGTGGACTCTATGGCACCGTACCCCACTGAGGTCCCTGTCCTCCCCAGGCTCCATCCCCAAATCTCCAGAAGTTTCTCAACCTGGATCTGGTAACCCTACCCCCCCATCCCCTGCTGGTGGCCAGGGGGGACCAGGCAACCCTATGTGGCATAGTTGTTAGCATCGGACTGTGTCTGACGAAGGGAGACACTCTCAAACGTTTATACCCTGAATCTTTTGTTGGTCTCTTAAGGTGCTACTGGACTAAAATCTAACTGTTCTCCTGCAGACCATCACAGCTACCCTCTGAGTCTGGTCTCAGACACCTAGGGTCACATCCCCACTCCGTTATGACGCTTCAGGCCAGTCACACATGCTCAACCTAACCTGTGTAACAGGGTTGTTGTGGGGATAAAATGGAGGAGAGGAGAATGATGTAAGCTGCTTTCAGTCCCCATTCGGAAGAAAGTAAATGAATAAATCAAATTCTAAGTATATATACAGTTGTGTGCTCATCACTCTGATTGGCTATTAATACAGACATTAACCATAGAGATTTATTTAAAAATCTCAATATTTATTCCAGGTTGAAGCACTGAACAAGATGAAGACTTTGAATAGTCTAATAAAGTTGAATGCTGTGAAGCAAAGCAAAGCGAAAGCAAAAGACGCAATGCACACCTGTTTAAAACAAAGAGCTTACAAAGAAGCCCTTTCTGATCTCCAGTCTCCTCTGAATCCTTCAGTCATACTTTCAGAACTGTAGTAAGTGTGGACCTTGTGATTGCTATGTGGAAATGGGCAGGCAGAAGGCTCTTGCTCTCTGACTTCTTTTGGCTGCCTTGCTCAGCAGACGTGCTGGCACTCAGAGGAATATTTCTTAGCGTGGCTCATGCGCCTTCTGTGTAAGCTTCGTAAGCAGTTCTTGGGCTTCCTAAGGGTAAGATGTCAGTTTTAGGAGAGAGGTTTTTGCAGCTGATGACCAACATGTTCCTGTAAGTTCTTGTAAGATCTCTGATAATAAAAACCCACCTTAAAATAACAACAAATGGACTGGATCCAGCACAAGGATTTTCCCGAATCCCCTCTCCCAACATAGCAATTGCCAGTCCTGAGAAAGTTTATTCCTGGGTCACAAAGTCCACATGGACTAATGCTCACTTGAGGTGCAGTGAGAAAAGGGAAGGTGGTTAAAGTGCTCCCTTGTTTGCCTATCCGCAGGCCCGTAGCCAGGGTTTTGTGCTTCATGGGGCAGAAAATTTTCTGATGGGCCTGCCATTATTTGCTGTAATGAAGGGGGTTGGCGCACGCCTCTCTCCCTCCCCTCCTGCAAGATTTAAAGGGTCCTTCAGCTGATCAGTGGGGAGCACATGGCCTTCCGATCAGCTGGAAAGCCCTTTAAATCTTGCAGGAGGGAGAGGGGCACGTGCCACCCCCTGCTTCTTCTCAAAAGCATTTAAAGAGTCCCTTTAAATGTTTTTGGGAAGAAGGGGGGACCTTTAAGGGAGGGGCTGGCCCTTTAAGAGAGGGGGCAGAGCTCCAAATAGCCCTGCCATAGCTATAGGCCAGCCTACCCATAAGTAGACTTTCCCTGAGAGAAGGGTCAGGAAGGGAAATCTCTTTGCCTTGCTCCTTTACATTGCAACCTCCCAACCCACGTGGCTACTAGTGCACAGAGGTCCCATAACCCTGGGAATAAGTTTTCCTGGGTTCAGAAAGCACTGATGGAAGAGAAGGGGAAGGAGGATGGATATGCAACTATTAGCACCTTGTGCTGACAGAACTCTTGATCCAGCCCACTCTCTGACTGCCTTTTTGAATCCATAAACCTATAAGTAGCAGCCACTGCAGCAACATCTGTCGTGGTTTGAAGCTAAGCTTCAAGGACAAAGCTAAGTTAAATGTGGCTAAGGGGTGCATGTAAAAGAATAAAACCTATTTTCTAATCCAGTATGGACCATTATTTCAGATTCTGGAGTTGGTGGTTACCCTATACAGTCCCGAATTCTGTACTATTAACATTCCGATTGGCCAGTATAACTAGTGGCAAAATGAACGTTTGGAAAGGCTTAATCCAGCTCGTACAATTCTGTCATGGCATTACCTTCAGAGGTGCTTTTTAAAAATCCTGCTGTATTTTTTCTGACTGGTTAATCTTCCTGATTAACTCACCAACAGTATTTATAATGCTTTTGTTTTAGCGTGGAGAAATGTAAATACATGGACTCTAAAATGAAGCCTTTATGGATTGTATATAACAACAAAGTGTTTGGTGGAGATTTGGTGGGGATCATCTTTAAAAATGGAGATGGTAAGTAAACAGTGGAGTCTTGTTTTCTGCCATAGTATTTTGACCTTCCATTCATGTAAGTGCTGATAAGTAAAAAGATATTAGAGCAATTTCAGTGGCTGTGTTCAGACATCGTGTCTAACAGCAACTGAAGAACAGTCAGGCACAAACATAGGTTGTAATTATGCTTGTGTACAACTCCCTCCCTCTACTTCCTCCTTCCTCATGTACACAAAGTTTGATTCAAAACTTCCTGGTTTGATGAAGCTTCAGAGTACTTTGACAGTTGAATACAAGAACCTCAGCATACCATGGTTTGTCTACTCCCAATGAACTGAGATTCTAAACTGGGATTTAAATGTTTCAGTACAACTTGTATCATAGTAGGATATGGGAAGAAACAAAAATTTCTTGCTGGTTCCACTTATTTTATTTGATGCTATACATTTTCAAACAACTTTCCTACAATTAACAATACCATTGCAGTCTGTATAACTTTTACTCTCTAAATGTCTTTAAGTGAACTAATAGCTTGAAATAATCTCTTTCTTTTGGGTAGATCTGCGGCAAGACATGCTGACGCTTCAGATGTTACGTTTGATGGACTTGCTTTGGAAAGAAGCTGGTCTGGATCTTCGGTAAGACTGCCTACTCTTGCCAGCTTTCATGGTATTCTTGCCAGTCATGCTTTCTGGCTATGTGTGTTCAGTCATGAAAATATTAGCTGCTATCTAGAAACAAGGGGCATTTAAAATTGGTATTGTCCATTATCATATGACTAGATAAGCATGGTATACAATTAATATAATATAGACTTGCTGTCACATAAGACGTGCTTCATGGTCTCATCTTACAATTTTGTGGTGTTTGTGACAACACAAATGAGGGTTTGCATTACTGCAACTGAAGCTATATCCAGAGTTGAGCTCTTTGCTCTTTGCTCTGCAAGCGGAAACTGTCCATCTGGCTGCTTTATTTATTACTAGGAATAAGGCTCGTTGTAGAAAGAAATGAAACGAGCTCTAGGAAGAGGACCTGGGAGAGTGTGGCGGTCTGCAGCAGTCGCCTGTGGGGGCCCCCTGCCCCGGCAGCTGCGGCCAAGTACTATTTTCAATGGAGCCCATGCAAGTCAATTGACATTCCTGGCTCCCATAATTTCCAATGGGCCTTCAAGTCTCTCCCATTGTTTCCAATAGGCCAACCTGTCCTTCCTGTTAGTACATCCCTAGATGCAGAGTCTTTTAAGTCAGAAGGACATTAAAGAAGGGCATTGAATTTCTAGAATTAAACGCATCGCAAAACTGTTTGTATTGCTGCTCCACCTCAGGGTAACTTCTCATATCTGTAGTTAATAATCTTTTCTCTTATGAAAATGACTGGGAAGGATATTGGCAGGCCTGAAGACGGGGTGTCAGCAAACTGGCTGGGCCGCTGAGGGAAGTGGCCTCGGTTGGCTTGAGATCAATGGGAAGGAGCCGGCCAGCCACGGAACGGTGCCGTGTGCCATCTTGTCAGTGCAGGGCAGCGGGCAGGCGACTCGCACACCGGCGGAAGTGGGGCTAGGCTGGCAGTGGTGCTAGGGCAACGTGGGGCCTTCTCCTGGTGGTCCCGGGGGCCTGTTGCTTGCGGCACAGGTTGCCAGGTGGCCAAGTCACGGGCCGGCAGGGGGGGCAGTGTGGCAGCTATAATGGGGCACCATGGTGCCGCTGCTGGCGATCGCTCAGCAGGCGACCGTTGTCCCATGGCACCTGGGGTCCTGGGCGGGTGGCGGCTGAGGTGTGCACTTAGACTGGGGCTGGGAACAGGCTACTGGCAGCAGCACCTTGTGTCGTGATGGCTGAGGGAGGACCCACAGCCTGCGTGTGAGAGTGGGGTGAGGCTGGTGGTGCCGCTGGGGCGACGTGGGGCCTCCCACTGGCAGTTCCTGGTACCTGCTGCTGGCGGCGTGGGTTGCCGGGTGGCCAAGTCACAGCCCGGCGGGAGCAGGGTGAGCCTGGTGATTTAAATAGGGCCCTGTGGTGCCACTGCTGGCGATCACTGAGCAGGCGAGTGTCACTCCGTGGCTTTTGGCGCCTGGGGTCCTGGGGGGGGGGGTGGCTGAGGCACGCACTTTGGCTGGCCCCAGGAACCTTGTGGAGGGGCCCCGGCCTGCGTACGGGAGCAGGGCGAGGCTGCCAGTTGTGCTGGGGTGATATGGGTCCTGCTCCTGCTACTAGCAAAATGTGTATTGTAAGTGTGAAGGGCACTGAATCCCTAAGCACTAACACACATTGCGCCACTGTGTGGGATCTCTCCCTTTCAGTGAGCACCAGGCCTAGAGTGAAGGGGGTGGATGTGCTTAATATTCTCCAAGGTGTAGTAACTATTCACATGTATAATGGGAAGAAAATAAAGGGATACACAGAGTAGCAGTGACACTGATAGGGTGAGAGCTAAAAGAACTCCATCTTGCTAAATTCAGCCATTGAGAATCAGGTCTGCACATGTTTGCATATAGTCCGATCCTGGATTCCTTCTTGGAGTATTGTTGTGATAACCTTACTCGTGTTTGGAATAAAGTTTGGACAAAGTATGCGTCTGGATCTACCCACTCCTAATTCTTTGTTGATCCATTGTTTTTTCAGACATTAGAACATAAGAGAAGCCAATGTTAGATCAGGCCAATGGCCCATCCAGTCCAACACTCAGTCATACCGTGGCTAAAAATACCAAGTGCCATCAGGAGGTCCACCAGTGGGGCTAGCACACTAGAAGCCCTCCCACTGTTGCCCCCCCCCCAGCACCAAGAATACAAAGCATCACTTGCTCCGAATCAAGAGTTCCTATCTATACTTTGTGGCTAATAGCCACTGATGGATCTCTACTCCATATGTTTATCCAATTCCCTCTTGAAGCTGTCCATGCTTGTAGCTGCCACCACGTCCTGTGGCAGTGAATTCCATGTGTTAATCGCTCATTGGGTGAAGAAGTACTTCCTTTTATCTGTTCTAACCTGACTGCTCAGCAATTTCATTGAGTGCCCACAAGTTCTTGTACTGTGAGAAAGGGAGAAAAGTACTTCTTTCTCTACCTGCTCTATCTCATGCATAATCTTATAAATCTCGATCATGTCACCCCTCAGCCGTCGTTTCTGCTAGCTAAAGAGCTCTGAGCACTTTAAGGATTGGGGGGGGGGGTAATATATAGTTTATTGCTATAACAAAGGTAGCTAAGATAGCCAGAATACTTTTCTATCATTTCATGCAAGGGTCTTGGAACAATTTCTGGTGTGATTATTCACTCAAACAGTTGTGTACGCAGATCATTATCAAACTTTGGGTTAAACGCCAAAGTACTGTCCCTATAGATCTCTGGATTGTGGTGAAGATAAGGTTTAAGACTTGAATGTTAAGCGATGAATTAAAGGCTGAAGTTTCATTTTGTCTGTTTGACAGAATTTTTGCTTCTCGGTCCAAGCTCTCATTCTTTCATTCTAGCAAAATATGAAGCTCTGGCCAAAAAAATAAATAAATAAAAGGAATCATAACATTGTTTGGGACTAATCTGAATAAGTCAGATATCTTTGGTAAAAGGAACATATGGGAGCGATCATGATAAGGACAGTACAGAGAAGTGGCAGCATCAGCGGGCTCTGGGACTTAGTTTGTGCAAAGCTGTCCGCAGTACAGAGGTGTTGCACTCGTGTCTTACCTGAGTGTTTTACTGCACTGCTATAACACTTCATTATATATTGCCATTGTGTTCAGTCACCCTCACATGGCCAGACTGAATGCAGTGACCTGCATAGAGGAGTTGATTCCAATCAATTCCAGTGATGCCAATTAATTAAGAAAAATACACAGCTTAACACCTCCTCACATGTACTCCTGCATGATGAGGAGTGCCAGACATAAAATAAACATTTACACTCAACTTCCTTTGTAGGCTGCTTATTCCACAGCTGAGCACCTATCAGGATGGTTTCCCAGCATGCAGTTTGTTTGAACTCCAGTCTCTCCATGCAGAGCTTCTTCTGTTCCATTTTTGTTTAAGACATCAGCCCCTACACATGGACCCAGAGCAAAAGGGCTTTATTGCCGTGAAAGGAAAACTATTTTTCCACCCATATATGTTATCAAGGAAAAGATGGAGACATCTTAAATTCACATACAAGATACATACAGTAATTTAAAAAAAACCCCTTTTGTATATAACTTCTTTAGGGGGAATCACCTTATACTCAGGGTCATTTTCCAGATACCGTATTTTGGCAGTATAACTTAGATTTAAATTGTTTGTTGCTGGGTGGCTATCCTTTAATCCTTTGGGTTGCTCATATTGCATTTATAAATTGGTAAATGGTATAATTATGATGTTTGAATAAAAATAAATTGTATTATTTGAAGGAGGGACATGCACAAAAGAAACTGTTTTGTGCTTAAGGGTTGCCTGGAACCCATTGCTTCAAATGGATTTAATGGAACATTTGGCTTTGTTGTGCAGCTGGAGGTGCTTGGGGATTCACTGTAGCTTGTGGAACAGAGTCTCATAGATACCTCTCATAACAATCCAAAAATGGCCTGGATTATTTCTCTGCTTTACAGTAGTGGCTCTTGTTCATTATAACATCCAAATCATGTTATCCTTTATCCAGTGGTTTTCTTCATGCATGTTTTTCTTTTCTTCTCTTAATTTCATAAAAATACTGTGTCATAATAGATCTTCAGTCATGTTTCTGCTTTTTAAACTGAAAATGACTTGGTAAAATGAGCTCTTTGAGTGGAGCTTGAAGTTTTACTTGCTACTGTGCACATTGTACTAAATAAATAGAAATTGTGTTCCTGACACACCAGCTGGTTGGTGCTCATCTTGAGCTCATCTCTTAAATATTTTTGTAGGAGTTCAACAAACAGAATGAAGTTGCAACTTGGAGCAGTAGCCCTCACAGATAAGGGAGGCATTATAAATTAAGTTACCCATCAGTCAAATATGCTGCTCTTGAGAATGATTCTTTTTAATTATGTCTGTTATCAGAAAAAAAAATTAAAGATAGATTAGTTCCAGAAGTGTGTTATTTTTCTCCAGGATAAAAGAATGAGGGTTTAGTTGCTCTGAAGCTGAATATTGATTTACTTTCTCTTTGCAGACAGGAAGAAAATTCTTGGAGGCTGGCTGTTGCCAATAGCAGGGGTAGGGTCTCCTTGTCCTGAAGCTGCCAAAGGCACTGATCAGGCATTCTGTTGCTGCCTTTCCTGGTGAAGGGTGGGGCCTCCCAATCCAACCCAGCCCACACACCTCTCTTGGCATGAGGTTGTGAAGCTCATTAAGTTATGTTGTTGTTGTTTTTTCTGACTCATTCTCTTATCATTGTAAGGAAATGAATGAGCAGGAGGCCTTGCTGTGCAAAGGTTGCTTTCAAGACCTCTCAGGAAATGGTGGGCCACAGTGAAGAAAAGAATTCCAGTCCAGTTACATACTACCATGTGCATATTTAGATGTGCTTTTGAATGCAGTGCTAGGACACACAAGCGGGAGCATTATCAGCTAAAAATCTAGGGGTTTTCCCCATAGACTGAGAAAGGGGAAGTTAAAATAAAGACGTACTTATTTGTAAAATTTTATGTCCCACTTCTCCAGAAATCCGCTTTTACACAGCTCACAAAAACAATGCAATAAAATCATAGAAGCAGCAATATAAATTTGTCACTGATAAGCAAGTAGTAAAACAAGCCAAAGTGTTCTAATGAATTGGTTGCTTTGCTCCATCAGTGAAATAGTGCACAGATACTCCCTATTAGCAGACTACATAGTTGAGTTCCTACATTAGAAGGAGATATTTCAGCAGATGTTTATCCAGGCTTTTCTTAAAAACCTCTAAATGAGATGTTTCTCATTGACAACTTCTACTTTCAAGCCATATTAAGGCTTGGATCCCAGCCTGATTTATGTGGGCACAGGAAAGGGGGTCAGTTTTTCCTGTCCTCCTCCTGTGGGAGACCTCTGTCCCCCTAAGCTGTTCCTGGGGGTCTCCCATTGCCCAGAGGAAGGGATTGGCACAGAAGTGCCTGCAGAATTCTAGGTGGGATCCAAGACAAAAAGAACTGTAAAGCAATTCCTTTGTCTAAGACAGAGATAGTAGTAAGCATAAAAAATTTAAAAGCTCTGTAACCAGACCTTGAGGCTTTATTTTATTCATTATTTTATTGAAACATTTATACCCTATTTTACCACTTGGCTCAAAGCAGTTCAAGTACTATTAAATTAGACACAGAAGAAGAGGCCTACCTATTCAGATCAAGGATCCATCTTGTTTCACATACTAACCAGTCAATTCGCCCCAGAGGGCCTGCAAGCAAGGCCTTTCCTGATTATTGCCTTGCCAGAACTGGTATTCAGAGGGTATATTGTGCCTAGTAATCATTAAGGAGGAGGAGGAGGGTTTATACTCTGCCCTTCACTCAAAGTCTCAGAGCGGCTTACAATCTCCTTTCATTCCTCTCCCCACAACAGACACCCTGTGAGGCAGGTGGGGCTGAGAAAGCTCTGTAATAACTGCTCTTGAGAGAACACCTCTGAGAGAATTGTGACTAACCCAAGGTCACCCAGCTGGCTGCATGTGGAGGGGAATTAAACCCGGTTCTCCAGATTAGAGTCCATTGTTCTTAACCACTACACCAAACTAGCTACACATAACTGGTAATTATGGCTGATAGCCAGTTTCTGTGGGTTGGTCTAATTCCATTTTAGATTTAGTGGCCATCACTACATCTTGTGGCAGTGAGTACTAGAAGATAATTACATGTGTGAAGAAGTTCCTTGGTCTGTCCTGAATCTAGTGCCCAACAGCTTCACTTGAGTGTTATGAGGGAGAAATGCAAGGTTCTCTCTCCCCACCCTATGCATAATGTTATAAACGTCTATCATATTTATTTCCCCCCCTCTCAAGTCATTAGCACTTTAACTGAACTCTCCCACCATCCACGATGACTTTTGTGAATTTATGTAATAAATCAAAGAAGCAGTCCTGAAACAAAGGCCTTTCTTTAAGCCTGAGATGGGGGCTTTCTGCATGCAATTCTGTAAAGGAGAGAATAAATCCAGAAAACTGACATTACAAAAGACCAAAACCATAGTGCATTTGTTTGGGACTGGCAGGACTTGAATTGATAGGCAGAATTGTTATGAACCTGGAGGGACATCGCAGAAGTTACACAGGGCAGAAGGAAAATAGAATTAATCTTTCAGGTTGGTTTATACATCTGTCAGTAGTTGTCTTTATATAGTTTTAGCAAAAGGTACAAAAGAATCCCACTGACAGATGTTGAAGGGAAGGATGAGGTGGACAGGACCCTGAGGATTTGTCCCCGGCCTGACTCCTGTCAAACTGTCTCTCTGACGAGGATGTTTTTTCCTCCATTTGGGAGAGTACCATTCTCTGGGGACAGAGCAGCTTTCATCATTGCCGGCTTTTGAAGAGGAAGTCGTTGGAAGCGTGCCCAGTGGACACTGCAAGTAAGGGTGGGTTGAAGTACAGCAACATTGCACTTTACCCTAATAAAACCTGCATTAAGATTATAAAGTAGCAAGGAGAGCCCAGGCATGAGTCTCTATATTGTGAAGGCAGCAATTCCAGGAGTGTAGCTGTTGTGTGCTCTCCTTGACTCAGATGCAGAATCTGTCATTTTTAATTGCATGGGAAATTTTGAATGGAAGGATATGGAAAGTTTCTAAAGATAGAGATGAAGAATGTATGGGGGTAGATTAATCAGACTTCTGATGTGAAGTGCCTGATAAGCTCAGCTTTAGCAGTTAATGACTGTTGTGGTTTTTTGATGATGGTATTATAACTTACAACAGTTTTTAACAACCAGTTGAACTAAACTTAGCCTGTTTTTGTGGCTTCATTGTTCCGTGTTTTGACATTTGGGGAAAGTTATAATTTCTATAGAACACCATTTTCTCTAAATGGTAGGCCAAGCTTTCTGTTTCTGCCTTATTCTCTTTACATGATTCTGTAACCCTCTGCAAAGTTTAACTCATTTGTTCAGCTTGTACCCTATTGTCTGTTGTATGGCATACACAGAGCAGCTTATTTTGGGAAGTTACCTCCTATTTCAGGCAGTTAAGTTACCAGTCCTCATTTATCCTTTAGCCTGTATTTTCCTTAAAGGTACAGTTTTTACAGTATGGATAGAAATCCCAAATGTTCCTCCTGATACCATTGCAGATACAAAAGCACCTAGTCTTAAAGGCAGAATGCTGTCCTCCCCATGGCATTGCGCCCAAGCCCTGTATTCATCACATATCTTCCTCCCAGTGTCACTCCCTTCCTTGCTATACCTACAGCCTCACCCCACAATAGCACTGACATCCCAATCAGCCCACCAGAAGGCTGGCAGTCTTGGAGCTGATCCACATTTGAGTGCAAAGATGACCTGAATTTAAATGATTTCCCTGCAAGACAGACAGACATGGCAGTAGGACTCACACTACTGTTTTTGTGTATATTGCTGGAACTGAGGTGGGCTTCCTTTTTACTATTTTGCCAGTGTTCTGTTTTAGCAGCTTGGGGATTTGCTAACAAATGAAATAAAAGAGCACCATCTGTAGTTAGAATACTAGAAGTGCATGGCTTTTACCCTGTTTATGAAATGCTGAGTGTACGTGTTCATTTTCTAAACTTTTAAAAGTTTGATTTACAAATTACCCTATGTATTTTGTCTCTAACCATTAGATACACTAAGTTTCTAATTACTCTACTATTATTCCAGAATCGTGCCATATGGTTGTTTAGCAACGGGAGATCATTCTGGTTTAATTGAGGTTGTTTCCACGTCTGAGACCATTGCAGATATTCAACTGAATAGTAGCAATGTGGCTGCTGCTGCTGCATTCAACAAAGATGCTCTCTTAAATTGGATTAAGGAATACAATTCAGGGTAAGCCGTACTTTGCATTTGGCTGTTAACTTAGATTTCCAGAAAACCACATACCAGTGTTATATATTGCTAGGTTTGCCGTATGCTAGAGCTTTCCAACACCAGCAGAATTCTCTGTTAGTATCCAGCCACTTTGTGAGGCAAGACGTTTTCTTTGATCTTGTATAATAAAATGGTTGTTGCCAGTTATTCCGAAATCCGAGCAAATCAGTGTACATTGATAATGCTCTCCACTGAAAAATGAACCGCTAGATACCTTTCTGCTAGCGCTGTTCAGCAATACTCGTGTCTATTGGGTCTTTATGCCTTCCTCAGAATCTCTTTAAGTCATAGTTAACTAAACCAAGGAACATATTTATTTACTTACTTACTTACTTCATATGGAAGTAAATGGGGACCCAAAGTGACTTAAATCATTCTCCTCTCCTCCATTTTATCCTGACAACAACCCTGGGAGGTAGGTTAGGCTGACAGCATGTGAAACTGGCCAAAAGTTGTCCAGTGAGCTTCTTTGGTGGAATGGGAATTTGAACCTGGGTCCTCCAGATCCTAGTCCAACATTCTAACCATTATACTACACTGGCTGTCAAACAACACACCAATCACAGAAAGCGGGGTTTAATGTGACACCAAGTATCCATGTCCCTGGCTAGAACATAGGCCACAGTCTTGCTCATTTCTCAGGTGTTATGTTGTCATCTTCTCTCTCAGGAAATTAAAACTATAGCATGCACTGGATTAGCCATGAATGTTTTCAGTATCTTATATCTTAAAGATCAGGCAAATTCCACTTTGACCAGTGTTCGTACAGTGCCATTAGAACTTTAAAGGCTGCATGCATGCAATAATTGTGTAGCCATCCTGTTTCATACAAATACTGAATGTTTCATCTTGATTGTTGTCTTCTGCCAGCAGAATTACCTGTTTAGTTTGGCATTCCTCCATTGCAGCTGTTGGATGATCTTGGGCAAGCCATAGTTCTGTCAGAGTTGCTCTCTCAAGGACAGTTCTGGAAAGAGCTCTCTCAGCCCCACCTGCCTCACAGGGTGTCTGTTGTGGGGAGGGGAAGGGAGAGGAGTTTGTAAGCCACTCTGAGACTCTGAGTGAAGGGCGAGGTATAAATCCAATCTCCTCCTCCTCTTCTTGACCATTGTTCCTGTATATTTTTAAAAGTTTGTTTTAATGGTTTTGATTGTTCAGTGCCTTGGGACCCTAAGTTGGATAGAAAGCTGGCATTAAATGTTTTAAATAAATAAATAAATTATATTAATGTTTCATTTCCTTGTATACCATCACAATAAAGTGCCATAGTAACTGTCCAAAATATTTTCTTCATGAAACATATGTTGCTGTTTAACGTGTTCAGGAAGTTTACTGCAAAAATACACAATATGTTCACTAGCTAATGATATGTGAAGTGGCTATAAGGAAGTTTCTGTTTCTTGTCTAGCAAGACACTGTCTTGATGCTTTACCTGGGGCTATTCCAAGCAATCAATTTCTGATTCCTAATTTAAGGACTGATTTGAAATGTTTAGCATTCTACTTTTTTCCTACCCAATCTAGAGATGACTTGGATCGAGCTATTGAGGCATTCACTCTCTCTTGTGCTGGCTACTGTGTAGCTACTTATGTGCTGGGCATAGGAGACAGACATAGTGACAATATCATGGTCAGGAAGAATGGACAGGTAAGAATTTCCTTGGCAAAGTATTTCAGTGGCTGTCTTCTGCTAGCCTTTATTTCCATATGTTTCACTTGCTTTTCAGCCTATGATACAATCAAACGTTCTCCTCTTCATGAAAGATTGCTTCATCTTCAGTCTTCTGTGCATGTGCAGGTACTCTTAGATACTCGTAGATACTCAAAGGGGTTGCCTTTCCCCTCAGAGCACACACATGGTCCAAGGGGAGGTGCCCCAGTCCCTCAATTTGTTCTTCACCGCTGTTTCATGTATATTGTTTCAAGAGCTCTCCATAAGTGTGTTTTTGTTGTTGTTTCTTTTGTCTCTTCAAGACCTTCTCTGAAACAAGTCTACTATGTCTCAGAAGGGCCTTTTCAAAAAGTGTTCCAATTGCAAAACTAAAATGACAAGGACTGGCAAACTTTTTTTGTTTTTAATCTGCCTTGGTAAGAGACATAATGATGTGGCCTGTAAACACTGTCAATGGTTTATAACAAAGGTGTACAGTGACCAAGTTTTCCTGTTTGAAGGCAACTCTTTGGGAAAAGGCCTTGTCCAGCTGTGATTGCTGAACAGTGCTGCTAAATCATCTGCCCTAGCAGATCCTTTTGACATCCCAGCAACTAAGACAACTGCTCTGGAAGAGCAACCATCCCAGCCTCCTTCTATTGCCTCAGTTCCAAGTTGGATCCAGTGTGGCAGCAGTCTTGGTCACCAGAAGCAGTGACTGCTTGATGTTCTTCAAAGCCATCCTTGAAGATGGCCAAGGCAAAGAAGAAGCACAGCGAGAAGTACAGATCAGTTTGTTGCCAAGCTTCTGATAAACCATCTGAGCCAGTTCCAACAGGGGAGCAGAAGAATTCTCTGATGCATTCATAATCACCATTACATCATTATAAGAAATCTAGACCAAAATTGAACACACTGCACTAACTGAATTCCAACCATCTTTTGGAACAGATTCACTACATCCAGCTCCATGACCGCCAGGCTTCCCCCTGGTTCCATTGAAACATCATCTATATATCTAATAGGCAAGTTGCCCCCCCCCCCGTCTCCCCCAACAGCTTTTCCTACATAGTCATGGGCCTTTCTAAGTCTGCAGAAAAATCCAAAAAGTAAAAAAATCCTTTCAGGGAGGGTTGAATCCCCCCCAATACCTTTTGAAATTGCAGGGATCTAACTCCAGACATCAATGGTGAGAGATTAGAATGTTCGGGGGGG